CTACCAAAATGGGAAATTGGAGGTGGGCCACAGAGTACATTTCCTAGTGCAGGAAGCCAGGTAGCAATAGAATAACCTTGGAATTGGAAGGAACCTTGGAGGTCTTCTAGTCCAACCCCCTGCTCAGGCAGGAGACCCTCTACCATCCAGAATAAATGGCCGTCCAGACTCTTCTTAAAAGCCTCCAGAGATGGAACAACCACAACTTCTGGGGGCAGGTTGTTCCACTGGTTAACTGTTCTCACTGTCAGGAAATTTCTCCTTAGTTCTAGGTTAAGAACAGCTTACCTCAGATATTGTGGGTGCTCCATCACTGGAAGTTATTAAGAAGAGACTGGGCAGCCACTTGTCTGAAATGGTATAAGTTCTCTGCTTGAGCTGGGGGTGGACTAGAAGACCTCCAAGGTCTCTTCCAGCTCCTATTCTGTTCTACTCTATTCCTCCTACTCTACTCTATTTTACTCCTACTGTATTCTACTCCTACTCTACTCTACTCTACTCTCTACTCTACTCTACTCTACTCCTACTCTACTCTACTCTACTCTACTCCTACTCTACTCTCTACTCTACTCTACTCTACTCTACTCTACTCTACTCTACTCCTACTCTATTCTCTACTCTACTCTACTCTACTCTACTCTATTCCAGTTTGGTTCTTTCCTTGATTAGTTTCCACCCATTGCTTCTTGTCCTGCCCTCAGGTGCTTTGGAGAATAGCTTGACTCCCTCTTCTTTGGGGCAGCCCCTGAGATATTGGAAGGCTGCTATCATGTCTCCCCTGGTCCTTCTTTTCATTAAACTAGACATACCCAGTTCCAGCAGCATTTTAACCTTCAGTCCCCTAATCATCTTCGTTGCTCTGCTCTGCACTCTTTCCAGAGTCTCAACCTCTTTTTTTAAAAACTCTGGTGACTAAAACTGGACGTAGAATTCCAAGTGTGGCCTTACCAAGGCATTCTCAACACTTAATAACAGTATTTATGACAGCATGTTTATTCCTAGCCCGTCTTAATTAGATCTGGAGGTTGTGATTAATGATTAATGAGCGGTTTTTGTTCGGGGGTCTGGCTGAGATTTAATTGCATCTTTGAAGGAAAAAAACAAAAAAAAACAGGAAATCTCTTAGGACTCCATTTGAGACCATAAAGTTCTACAGTTTAGGCCTAACTAGTTCTCCAAAGGATTCGAATTAGCTTGTGAGGGTCCGTGCGGGGCATATTAATAATATTTGGGAAATTCAATAAGAGGGTGCAAAACAGTTAGTGAAAAATGACACGCATAAGAAGGTGGGTTTTTTTTTTTCAAAAGTCAGCTGGACTTTCTTGCAATAATCCTTCCATGAATTACTGCAACCGTTCAGTTAGTGACACGGTTGTTAAGTGAATCTGGCTTCCCTGTTAACTTTGCTTGTTGGAAGGTCTCAAAAGGGGGGGTCACATGTCCCCAGGGACCCTGCAACCATCATAAATACCTGAATTTTGATCACGTAACTGTCGTAAGCGTGAAAGGGGATCATACTTCACTTTTTTTGGGTACCGTAATGAACTTTGGTCATTAAACAAATCATGGTAAGTCAAAGATCACCTGTATCTTGCAGAGTCCATCTCAAGATTTCTCTTGGGAGACCAGTAAAATGGGTAAATGGTACCAATAAAGGAGAATATTTGTAGCTTGTGGTTGAAATGAGGGGTCTGAGCTTGGTGGTTTTCTGGTAGACGTTTCATGACCCAACTAGGTTATATCATCAGTGCTAGAAGGGAGTGGGATTTGATCTCTGTTTATACACAAGTCTATACAAAAGAGTCTTTGTAGCACAGAGTTGAACTGTGGGGTCCTTGGTTCTCTCTGAGCTTTGTGGTTTTCTTGCAGATGTTTCAAGACCCAACTAGGTAACGTCATCAGTGCTAGGAAGGAGGGGGTGCTTGCTGTCAGTTTATATTCTGGTGACTTGCCTGTCTGTGTGGGTGGAGGCGGCCTTCGAGATTCTTTGGTTGGCCTTGTTGAGGGTAAAACTGCCCTCTGCAAAGTGGCGCAACAGATCAGACAGCGAATAGATACGTTGCTTGGCAAAACACACAGATACTCACAGACTCTAAGCCGGAAAATATAAAAAGGGACTTATGGTATTTGGCACTACATATAGACCACCCCAATGATGCCCTCGAGGTGATGTCCCGGTGCCTGGAGGCCATACGGATCTGGATGGGGAGGAACAGACTCAGGCTCAACCCATCCAAGACTGAGTGGCTGTGGTTTCCGACGTCCCGATATAGTCAGTTGACGCCATCTCTGACTATTGGGGGGGAGTCATTGGCCCCCACAGATGGGGTTCGCAACTTGGGCATCCTCCTGGACTCGCGGCTGTCTTTAGAAGAGCATATGGCGGCCGTGGCCAGGAGGACTTTTTATCAGGTTTGCCTGATTCGCCAGTTGCGTCCCTTTCTGGATCGGGACTCGTTACGCACGGTCACTCACGCCCTTGTCACCTCACGCCTGGATTATTGCAATGCTCTCTACATGGGGCTCCCCTTGAGGAGCACCCGGAGGCTCCAATTGGTCCAGAATGCAGCCGCGCGGGTGGTGACAGGAGCGATGTGGCGCTCCCATGTGACCCCCCTCCTGCGCGAGCTGCACTGGCTCCCAGTGGTCTTCCGGGTGCGCTTCAAGGTTTTGGTTACCACCTTTAGAGCGCTCCATGGCTCAGGACCAGGGTACTTACGAGACCCCCTTCTGCCACCAGTAGCCTCTCACCGACCAGTCCGCTCCCATAGAGGGGCTCCTCAGGGTGCCGTCGGCCAAACAGTGTCGACTGGCGGCCCCCAGGGGGAGAGCCTTCTCTGTGGGGGCACCTACGATCTGGAACGAGCTCCCCCCGGAGATACGGAGGATCCAAGACTTACGCATCTTCCGCCGCGCCCTAAAAACGTTTTTATTCCAACAGGCTGGTCTGGCCTAACTCTCCCTTTTAAATTGGCTTTTAAATTGGGTTTTTAAATGTTTTTTAGATAAATTGGATGTTTTTAATTTTTTAAGCCTAAATTATTTAATCTGTTTTTAATAGTTTTTAACTTTTGTATGTCTCTGTATTTTATTTTGGCTGTTCACCGCCCTGAGTCCTTCGGGAATAGGGCGGTATACAAATATGATAGATAGATAGATAGATAGATAGATAGATAGATAGATAGATAGATAGATAGATAGATAGATAGATAGATATCATTACAGCGGCAAGACTGACGTATGCTCAACTCTGGAAAAATCAAAATATCCCAAGAGAGGAGGCTATTATAAAAAAAAAATTAGAATGTGCGGAAGCAGATATGTTAACTAAAAAATTACAGGATAGAGAGCAAACACAAGTAGGTTTAGCTTGGGAAAAAATTTATAAATGGTTAGAAAAGAGGAAACTATAACCCACATTAGATGAGGAATGGTATTTAATGAGAAATTTATATTATATAGGATAAGTGAGGTCGGATAGACCTAATTGATGTATTAAGGTATATAAGCTGTTCTGTCTTCTCCGGAATATAATTTAGAGTTATAGTACCGAATATTTGTTCATTAAGGTACTATATGGAAGTACGTATGTTTATTGTTGTATTGTTTTTTGTGTGTCACTTTATGTTGTGTTGTCTTTTCTTTTTAACTGAAATGTAAATAAAGATTATTTTTTTTTTAAAAAAAAGATACTCACAGACTCTGAACGTTGTAAGAAAATAAACAGTCTAAAGTATAAAAAGTATAACAGTATAAAAACAAACTTGGTTTCTCAAAACAAAGATAACACTTCACAATCACGGTTCAACAAAAACATAGTTTGCTTACAATTCCATTTCTCTTCAGTAACACAGACACAGTTCCTTTCAGCAGTTCAACCTTCAATAGCAGGAGCAGAAGTGAATGAACTTCCTGCCTTCTTTTATGTCTGCTTAGCAGAGCCAATTAGTCATCTTTGTAGCAGTTAAAGTTACAGAACATAGTTTTCTATATATTATCTACCCAACCGTAGGATAAGCATCCAACAGGCCTGTTTACTGGTGGCTCTTTGGCAGTTTCTTGATTGGGGGATTAATTGATTTGATTGTTGGTCTGAAGTTAACCTTGGAAGTTAGGTTAAGTAAACCGAGGTCAACTTCAGACTAACAATCCAGTAAGCAACCTTGGAGGTCTTCTAGTCCAAGGAGACCCTATCTAGAATGACAGAATAACAGAGTGGGAAGGGACCTTGGAGGTCTTCTAGACCAACCCCCTGCTCAACCAGGAGACCCTATACCAGTCCAACCCCTTGCTCAAATAGGAGACCCTATACCAGTGATGGCAAACCATTTTGCCGTCACGTGGCAAAAGTGGGGGGAATGCAGGGGGTACGTGCGCACATGCCCACACCCAAAATTCAATGTGTCCCGCCCCCCCCACGCATGCACGCACGACCCCCCGTGCTCCCCCCACTTTTGGCACATGATGGCACTGTGGGCCCAGTAGGCTTTCTTGGAGCCTGGGGAGGGCGAAAACAGCCTTTTCCCACTCCCCTGGAGGCCCTCCGGAGTCAGGAAACGGTCTGTTTGCTGACTTCCAGGCCATTTCCAGCCTCCGGAGAGCCTCCGGGGAGTGGGGAGGGCTGTTTTCGCCCTCCCCAGGCTCCCAACTTCTGGTGGGCCCAGAAGGCCTGAAAATTGGCGTGCGCCGGAGCTGAACTAGAGTAATGTTCGCGTGCCCACTGATACGGCTCCACGTGCCACTGTGGCATGCGTGCCATAGGTTCGCCATCACGGCCTTAATGACAGAGTTGGAAGGGGCCTTGGAGGTCTTCTAGTCCACCCCCCTTACTCAAGCAGTAGACCTCATACCATTCCAGACAAGTGGCTGTCCAGTGTCTTCCTAAAAACCTCCAGTGATGAAGCACCCACAATTTCTGGTGGCAAGCTGTTCCCCTGGCTAATTCGTCTCCATGCCAGAGAAAACGAGATAACCTTCACGTCTTATCCTCTCTCCTCCAGATACGAGACTTCTCTCCTGGACCTGGTGGCTGCCATGAGCCCGAGGCAGGAAGATCACCACAGCTTTCCCAGAGGGATCCAGCCCCAGAGCAGAACCGGCGGGAACCCCCGCTGGGATTGGAGATCCCCCAGAGCCAAGAACGGGCTGGCCGATTTGGAAGAGAGCCGGATTTTGGAGGAAATATTTTTCATTTGAGGGCCTTGGGGGGCTTCGAGGACTGTTTTTTTTTAACGCCTTCCTCTTTTCTCGTCTGGGTGCGTGGACGTCTTCAGGATCTTTTAAATTATTTGTCTGACCGACGATTGTCTCCTCTCTCTCTCTCTCCCCTTAGAGAAGCGAAGACGGTAGCTCCCCTCTCCCACCTCTGAATCATGATAGAGACGAACTGCATGGAGTGTTAGTGGAAACTTTCCAGGGGGATTTTTCTCTTCCGGGGATTTCATTGCTGAAGGGGGCGGAAAAGTCACGTCGTTGTGCAAAGGATGGTGTTTCCTTATTGATTTTTGATTTTTTTTTTTTTTTTTTTTTTTTTTTTAGTGTGGAAACCGTTTTCCAGGGCTTAGTCTCTCTCTCTTGCCCTCCCTCTCCGCTCCCTCCCTCTCCCTCTTTACTCCGTTCCTTCCTCCTTCTTCCTCCCTTTCTCTCTTCTTGTCCCCTCCTTTTCTCCCTCTTCCTCCTTCCTCCCTCCCTCTCTCTGTCTCTCCCTCTCCTTCCTTCCTCCCTTCCTCTCCCTTGCCCTCTTTCTTCCTCTCCCCTCCATCCTCCCCCTCCCTCTCTCTCTCTTTCTCCCTCTCCTTTCTTCTGTCTTCCTCTCCCTCTCTTTCCCTCTCCCTCCAACTCTCTCTCCCTTTTCTTCTCTCTCTCCTTTCCCTCTCCTCTCCCTTCCTCTCTTTTCCTCTCCTCCCTCCCTCCCCTCCCTCTCCCTCTTCCTCTCCTTCCTCCCTCTCTCCTCTCCTCTCCCTCTCTCTCTTTTCTCACTCTCCTTCCTTCTCTCTCCCTCTCTTTCCCTCTCCAACTCTCTCTCCCTTTCCTTCTTTCTCTCCTTTTCCCTCCTCTCCCTTCCTTCCTTTCCTTTTCTCTCTCCTCTCCTTTCCTTCCTCTCCACTCCTCTCCCTCTCTCTCCCTTTCCCTCTTCCTCTCCTTTCTCCCTCTCCCTCTCTCCTCCTCTCTCTCCCTCTCTCTGTCTCTCTTTCACATATCCAAGGCCATTCCCGCAGTATAATTTTCCATTTGCAAAGCAACCTTTGAAACGGAGAGCGCAGTGCGTTTTCCAAAAATACATCCCCGGGAATTACGAACCGTTTCCCTGGTCTTTTTAGGCAGGTAACTTAAAAGTAACTCTCTGCACTTCAATGGTTTTCTTCCCAGTTAATGAGCCTTTGATAGAAGATGCCTCTTTAAAGACAATAAATAAATCCAGGGCGCATCGGATACAGTATGTCTGAAATACCATTCTCCCCTTCATTTCATTTGCTTACTCTCTTAAAGCAGAACGGAGCATCTCCATCGGAGCTGCTCCGTTCACGGTCGAGAGAGAAAGCACCGGACTTGCAGGGCGAAATTAATTCACTCCGTGTTTCCTGGGTCTAAAAGGCTTCCTTCATTTCTGCAACCTCTTGCCTTGATGTTGTAAATAAAGACGAATCAGTAATTATTTCCACTCACCCCTGGTAATGCATGTTTCGCCTTCTGACTTTAATTATTCATGCTGTAGCTGTTCCAGTTGGTTTTCGAAGGAGCTTCCCCCTCACTGCTGCTCCGTTACTTAAAGAAAGATGTAAAATTGGTGTGTTTTTTTTAAAAAAAGGAAACAATTGTAGATTCCAGAATCGGCAGTCATTCTCTGCTCAATGCAATTGTCTTTTTCTATCAGGATATAACAGATACGTCAGTTTTAAAATCTGATAAATAAATAAATACCTGTCAGAATGGTAGCCAGTGGCATGAAGAACAACAGGGAGATCCGTCTCTTGTGTAGCATGAAGGCAACACAAAATTGTTGCATTACACCTGTTTTGGGGATTTGCTAGAGAAGGAACCAGCCATTGTGGAATCCACCCTCAGAACTCTTAAGATCCCTTTCGTCCTCTGAATTCCCCTTCTCCCTCTGGTCTACTCCAGTCCTCCCAAAGGACCAACCTTTGAGGTGGACCTGGAGATGTTCTGATGAAGATACTGGTGGCAGCAATGGGTCCATCCTTCATTGGTTTAGACCAGGGGTGTCCAACCTTGACAACTTTGAAACCCATGGACTTCAACTCCCAGAATTCATAGCTGACTGGGGAATTCTGGGAGTTGAAGTCCACAAGTCTTAAAAGTTGCCAAGATTGGACACCTATGAGTTTAGACCCGTGGTTCTCAACCTGTGGTGCACGGAGCCCTGTGGGGGCCATGATATCCTCACAGGGGGTCTGCGAAGGCTTGGAGAAATGTTATGATTTAAATATTAAGTGTTGGGAGGGTGATCCATGACCAAATAAGGTATTTCAAGGGGTTCCATGGTGAAGAAAAGAGACCACTGGTTTAGACCATTGAAATGGAGAAGTTCTCAGGTTTCTCAGGCATGAGATCCCGAGGTTCCTTCTCTTGTGTGAGATTGTGGGAAGACTGTTGGGGAATATGCACAGAGTAACCCTTGAGTAACAAGGGTGTGCACATGAAAACGGCTGGGAGTGATAATGAATAAGCACTGTCAATACTCAGACAAACTAAATTGTGATATCCTTTTACTTTTGGGAAAAAGTAAAGCAAAGTCCAATAAACAATCCAGGTCATACAAGATAAAGATAGTTAAAATGTCAATCCAGGGATATTTCAGGAACAAAGTCTTCTTACCAGTTGTTTTAGTCATGTGCAATAAAACAGTTCTTTTTGTAGTTGCAAACAGGAACAAATACAGCATTAAAACGTTCAGTACACAGTAGAAAATAACAAGAAGTAGCAATGATCAGGCAGTGATCATGCAGAGAGAAGCAGAGATAACAATAAGAATGTAATAAGAATGCAGTAAGAAAAATAAGCCATGATTCAAGCTTCCTCTTATGGGGATTGGCTACAGAGCTAGCCAATAAGAATACAGTATACAGTATGATGCAATACAGCATTACAGCCTTAAAGCTATACAATACATTTTGACTGCAAACATGCATTGATGGTTTATATATATTTCCAACCCAACCAGTTAGGTAATAGCTATTTCCTAACATTGTAATTAAATCCTAGACTTCTTCCACAGCATTAGAGATTACAGGTTAAAATAGGAAAAAGGCTGAAATTTGGACTCTCTTGCTGGCTTTGGATTGGATTCAACGTAAGACTGTCCAGCTGATTTCAGATGGTCTGGCTAGTTCATCCTTGGTCCTGTAACCCTTGGAAGAGTGGGCCCTACGAGATATTTTAAAACAAGGTTGGGGGGCGCTTGTGCAGCCCACCAGAATTGCCCTCCTGCTGTACAGTAGATCTTGAATAGCCTCTCTTTTCACTTACAGAAATTTTGCTCTCTTTTCATTTACATAAATCTGATAAATAAAATAATAATAATAATAATAATAATAATAATAATAATAATATAATAATAATAATAATAATAATAATAATAATAATAATAATAATAATAATAATTTTATTTCTATACCGCCCTTCTCCCGAAGGACTCAGGGCGGTGTACAGCCTATTTAAAAACAAGATAAACATCAATTTAAAATAATTTAAAAATATTAAATAAATTTGGCTTAATTTAAAACCCCAAAAATTTAAAACATCCAATTTAAAATTATGTTGCTAACCCAGCCTGGCAGAACAACAGGTTCTTGAGTGCGCAGCGAAATACCCGGAGGTCGGAGATCTTACGCATTTCCGGGGGCAGTTCATTCCACAGGGCTAGGGCTCCCACAGAGAAGGCCCTCCCCCTGGGTGTCGCCAGCCGACATAACTTGGCCAATGGCACCCTGAGGAGACCCTCTCTGTGGGAGCGGACTGGCTGGTGGGAGGCTATCGGTGGCAGAAGACGGTCTCGAAGGTACCCGGGTCCTATGCCATGGAGCGCTTTAAAGGTGGTGACCAAAACCTTGAATCGCACCCGGAAGACCACTGGGAGCCAGTGCAGCTCGCGCAGGAGGGGTGTCACAAGGGCACAGTGAGTTGCATCCATAACCACCTGCGCGGCCGCATTCTGGACCAGTTGGAGCCTCCGAGTGCTCTTCAAGGGGATACGTATCAGAATGGTAGCCAGTGGCATGAAGAACAACGGAGATCCGTCTCTTGTGTAGCATGAAGGCAACACAAAATTGTTGCATTGCGCCTGTTTTGGGGGCCTGCTAGAGAAGGAAGCAGGCATTGTGGGGTCCACCCTCCGATCTCTTAAGATCCCTTTCGTCCTCTTGAATTTCCCTTCTCCCTCTGATCTGCTCCAATCCTGCTAATGGACCAACCTTTGAGGTGGGCCTGAAGACGTTCTGGTGAAGATGCTTGTAATGGCAACGGGTCCATTGGTTTAGACCAGGGATGTCCAACCTTGACAGCTTTGAGACTTCAACTCCCAGAATTCATAGCTTACTGAGGAATGTAAATCCTCACCCCAGTCATTCTGTCATTTAATCACAGGGGTTGCAAAAGTGATCAGGAACTCAGTATACAAGCAGTCCTCAACCTACGGCTGCGATTGAACCCAAAACTCCCGTGGCCAAGTGAGACAGTTGTTATGTGAGTTTTGCCCTATTTTACTACCTTTCTTGCCACCGACGTTAAGCGAATCACTGCAGATGCTAAATTAGGATCCCGGTTGTTAAGCGAAACGGGCCTCCCCAATGGACTTCGCTCATCAGAAGGCCGCCAAAGAGGATCACGTGACCCTGGAACACTGTCATCGTCATAAATATGAGTTGCCAAGCGTCCGAATTTTGATCACGTGACCCTGGGGATGCAGCAATGGTCATAATGCCGTTGTAACTTCAAACGGTCACTAAACGAACTGTTGGAAGTTGAAGATTATCTCAGCAATTCTATCTCCGCTTCGTAATGTGGCACCTCCCATACGAAATTGTCCTTCCGCTCTGTGGTTTTATCCCCCCCCACCCGCTCTTTTCAAACTTCGAAAAGGTGTGTCAAGGTTCCAGTTAACACACCCAACGGAAACAAAACTCCGAGGCGGACATATTCCTCAAAGTATAGATTTATTAGGCCTGTCATATTTGCACATCTGGGAAAAACCCGACTGAAGGACTCGAGGTTTTCCCCACTCAAATCAAATCCCAAAGTTCTTCCCTTCAGGCCGTCACATGGTCGAACCAGGTCGCAGTCACCATCTTGTCTGGCTTTGGTCCATGCCTCTCCATGCCTCTTCAACACCTGGTAGAACGTCCTTGGCTCTCCCGGGAAAGAATGTTGTTTTGGCTACACATCCCCAGGTATCTCTATCTCCCCCCTTACGTTCTCACAGCTCCAACCAGCCTTGCTGTGGCAGCCCTGAAGATGCCCCCAAAATGGCTCCAACCTAAAAAATGGCTTCAGGGCTGACAAGATGTTTTCGAATTTTCCTTCCGCCACACTTCTCCTGGCGCGATTGTTCGCCTCCAGTTCTTAATCTACACCATGCCAGGGTTCCAAGTAAGACACCCAACAGCAAACCAAACTCCGAGGCAGGGAGCTTCCTCAAAGAATAGTTTTATTGGATATGTCATATTGGCACAGTTCTGGTGAAAACCGACTCTGAAGATTCCCGCGGTTTTCACCTAATTAAAAGTAAAAGTTTTTCCCTCAACCCCAAACAGTCAGTCACATGGTCCAATCAAGTTGCTGTCTGGTTGCCTGGTGACATCACTCCTCCTCTCTCTGACCAGGTGTGAGAATGTCCTTGGTTCCCAAGAGAAAGTATTTTGTTTTGGCTACAAGACCCCAGCTATCTCTAATCCCCCCCCTCTGTATCCCTCAGCTCCAGTGTGGCAACACTGAAGTGGTCAAAATGGCTTCGGTTAGGTCAGCTGCAGGGTTGACACACCAATACTTCACCTCTTTTAATATCGAACCCAGGGACTCTCAATAAAGTTCTTGATAAACGGGTCAGATCAATGCCGTCCATTTGACTGTCCGACAGCCTTTGGAAAGGACGGCGGTCAACTTCCTTTCTCTTTTTTTTCCTTCTGTTTTTATTCGGGGGGGGGGAATTAAAATGCAAAAGTCCAAAAGAATTTAAAAAAAAAAAAAGCACAACAATCTTTCTTTTTTAATGAAGGCAGCACAAAATTGTTGCATTACACCTGTTTTGGGGATTTGCTAGGGAAGGAACCAGCCATTGTGGAATCCACCCTCAGATCTCTTAAGATCCCTTTCGTCCTCCATTTTCAACTTGACTGCTTTAAAAAATAAAAATCCATCCGTAGGTGAAGCTCAACTCTAAAAAAAAAAAAAAACAACACGCACATACACACAACATCCCGCCACACCGTCAGGGTCGGCAGCATCAAAAGATTGTGCCTGAGCAGAGCCCCCCCAAAAAATATCCCGTTTTAATTACGCAAATTTGAAGGAAGTCGGGAAGATGGTTGACGCCTGGCTTTATTGAAGTGCGGCCATGACAAATGGCAGATGTCCATATAAGCATCTGCCACGGCGCATACATTAAGAGCATCAATACTGACCCTCGTCTCCTTGTCCATC